ATCCGCCAACCTAATAGTATTCACAAAGAGAATTTTTGAGAGCTGTGTAGTGAGCATGTAGTGTGTAGCATGTGTGAAAATCCTGGTGCATAATTTTCCCGATTTTTTTGGAAACTTTACCGTATGACTTGTGTTGGCGCTGTGTGCTTGGAGTCCTACCGTAATCCTACACTAATGCAGGGCGATAGGTTTACACGCATTAAATCAAAGTTGAAGACAGCTCTGTGGAATTTACCTTGTAAGCAAAGAAAGACATCGAAGTAAGAGAGTTTATTACAATCGAATAGTAGAGACATTTTTCAGTACCGTGTAGAATTTTTGAAGTAGAACGCTGCATTAACTTCAGAAAAGTGAACAACAGATGAGCACAGGCCTTACGTAAATATCAAGGTCAATATCAAATATCAAGGTTTCTATCCTAAAATTCCCCAGCCTCCACTTCCATATTTCTTCCATCTTCTATCTCAGCGTTTGCTTCGAAGATTGCAACTTTCCCAAGCTAGCTTCCCAACGCCTGACCTAGTTGCAAAGTTCTTTACCTATACTATTCGTTCCATTAAGGTTGTTCTCCCCAGGTTTACTGATTGTCTTTTAGCTCATCTACGCGAAATGCAACGAAGAGCAGCAACTCGACCTGAAAATCCTGCTCTGCAAGATTTTCGAGCCAGATTTGTGCCCACTACCGTTTGAGACTGTGATGGTAAGTTTCTGCTTAGTCTGAAGAAAAATATACCTAATACTTCCATCACTTTTACCAATTTATTGCAAAGTTTGGCATAAAGAACTGCAAGTTAGTACAGAGGGGTAAATGAGCATCTAGTTCTAAAAAATAAGGCAGGATAATGGCATATGGAGGTGGGACCGAGACGAGGTCAGCAGTAACGATACGTAAGGCAGAAGAGAATAGAAACCTCTTTTGCCCACAAAAAATCTTTGGTAGTCATACTACATGCATTTTTTATCAAATCTTTATACTCCGCAAGATGTGTGCCTACCCTTTGAACTGAAAAATCTATATGCAAGTTCACTGCAAATTATGGGACTAGTGCGCAATTTACAAAAATGTCAGCAATGTCCGTCATAACTAAGCCGTCAGTAAAACGGTAATAAAGGAGCTTCATAAAATTAGGCACATGATCGGCAAGCATACAATGGGATAAAGTTGCAATGCAATAGCAGCACTTAGAGCTCATTCCAAGAAGTTTTTAACAAATCATGATGTCAGTGTGAACTGTAAACTGGGTAAACTGTAATGTTTATGTTATATGTTACAGGTCTTTGACTTCATTAGTCGCCGTCTAGGTGGAACAGACTACGTCGAACTATTCAATGCGCTGCAGTGGCTGCACGTAAGATTTCTGGATTATTCGAGTAAAAAATGCAAACAATTACTTCGTATCAATGTTTTAGCTCCTTTCACGTCTGGAAATTTCCATTCCACTTAATCTACTACTGGAGAACTTTGGCACGGCTTTGAAAGGGCTACCGGCTATGGAAATTCCGGAGCTAGGTCAGAACGACTTGGAAGAGGAGGACGTTTCTATACACATTGTCATCATTGACATACTGGTCCTTCAGGTAGCGCCATAGCTTTTTTTT